CCCTTCTTTCAATATAACACACTAATTGACGCTCAGGAGCTAAGAACAACAGTCACTTAGATGATTGTAGGGTCTAAAACTCTCCTGGGCAGCTCTAATCTGAGCAAGATTTGGTTGGTTGGGACTGGTCTGGAATACGTGTCTGTGATCAGTTGTACGGTTTACTGAAGTTGACTGGTGGAAGATGGCCTCACTCATTGTCTACCCTTTGTTCTGGAACAATATAGTGAATGGAACACATGTGTTTTCTAATAGGCTCTGCTAGATCTGTTCCCATATCAATGTCGGAGTTCTAGGAGGAGGAAGTTGCTAGGTTTTTTGAGGCCTAGGCTGACAAGTGGAACAGCTAATTTCTGCCAATCCAGAGCTGTTAGATTGGCTCCAAAAATTCGTTAGGGGCCTATATTCTACATTCTATATTCTATATTCTAGTATTATATATGCTCAGCCATCCCTAGGCTGTGGCCCTCAGCCTCATGGTCCATGAAGTCCTAGAGTTTCAACAATTAAATGCTAAGTTCAGCTAGCAGAATCTTTGGTAGGCTGCATGATACAGTCCCTTAAAGCATTCATGTCCTAATCTTCAGGACACTTATATAATACAGTTATGGCAAAAGACTTCACAGATATTATTTAAAAGAATATTAAAATGTGATTTTCCTTTATTATACAGGGGCGCATAATGGAAACCACCACAAATTTCCTTGTAAGAGGGAGGGGTGGGGAGATATTTGACTATTACAGAGTCAAAAATTAAAACATAATGGCTTAGGTAAGATACTACAATGCTGTCTTCAAACTAAAAAAGAAAAAAGAAAAGAAAAGGAACCAAGTGGTACAATGGGACAGACAAGGAAATGGATTCTCCCTGGAATCCCGAGAGGAACTGTGGGCTAGTTGACATTCTCATTTCAGGCCCTTGAAGCTTAATTTATCAAACTGTAAGAGAAATATTTTGCTTTAATCCACCAAATTTATGGACATTTGCCATAACAGTGCTATGGAACCAGATATTCACTGAATATTCCATTAAGAAATTTCAACTGTAATTCATTAATCAAAATTTGATCATTGTGGTCACATGTAGCTGCAAGGGAGCCTGACAAAATAGTTTTATTGGATGTCATTAGGAACTCCAAAAGAAGAAGAGAATGGTTCTGGAAAACAACTAATGTTTGCTACAGATGAAGAGGAGGCAATAAAATGAATTTAACATATACTATTGAGCACCTAACACAAATTTCAAGAGCTAAGTAGGTACCTTGAAAAATAGTCTTGAAGGTATTCAAAAATTCAAACTTAACCTTACTGTGTGATCTAAGATTTCTTCTCCTAGATACATTCCCAAGAGAATTTCCATACAAAAATATGTACACAAATGTTTATTAGCATTATTCATAATAGCTCAAAGGAGGAAAATTCACAAGTGCTTATTAATGAGTACATAAAATGTGCTATTCCCATACAGTGGAATATTATTATACTATTGAAAAGAAACAATATGCTCAGCATAGATAAAACTTGAAGATATGGGATAATAGTGGGGGGGGGAAAGAAGGAGGTAACAATGCTCAATAGGAAATGTACTCTTTACCTAACTCATGTAACTGTAACCCCTCTCTATAGTATCTTTACAATAAAAATATATATTAAAAAAACTTGAAGATATTATGTTCAGTGAAAGGACCAGTCAGAAATGAGTAAACATTTATTATTCCATCTATATGAAATGTCCAGCCTAGTCAGTATGCAGACAGAAATTTGGAAGATTTGCTTGAGACAAATTGGAAGTGACTATTCATTGGTATGTGGTTTCTTTTTGGGGTGGTGGAAATGTTATAAAGTTCACAGTGGTAATGTTTATCTAACTTTACATAATATACTAAGTCACTGAATATTCACTATAAAAATGGGTATCATATTTGAATTTTTCTGAGCAAATTTGTATGCATAAGAGAATATGCTAGCTACAAGGAGCAAAAGAACAAGTGTAATAATAAACCCCGGCCTGGTGATTGGGGGTATAGCTCACTCTGTGGTAGAGTGCTTGTCTACCCTATACAAGGCATTGAGTTCTACCTCCAGCGTTGCTGAAGTCCAACATTCACAGCCTGGGCAGAAAAGTCCTTGAGACTCTATCTCTAATTAGCCAGCAAAATGCTAAACTGCAAATGTGACTCAAGCAGTAGTGTGCTATCTATGAGTGAACAATGAGAGAAAGAGTATGAGGCCCTGAGTTCAAGCTCTGGTACTAATATAGAATGAAAAGAAGGGGGAGAAGGAGGAAGAAGAGGAGGAGGAGAAGAGAAGGAAGAAAAAGAAGAGTAGAAGGAGAAGTAAAGGAAGAAGAGAAGGAGGAGGAAGAGGAAGAGGAAGAAGAGAAAAGAAACATAACAAACATGCCTGGGATTACATTCAGTCTACCCATCACCAATTTGTGGTACTGGAAGTAGATTCTGAGATCTTCAGCTTGAAGCTTTTTCATTTCATTGCAGAGAAGCCTAATTGAGGGGGAGGGAGATGGAGTTAATGAGTAACATTATGACAAAATGAGGAATGAACATGATACCTAACTGACCAACTACAGAAAAGAAGAGAGTTAGGCACTAAACCCAAACTTAAACATGTCTCCCTGGCTAAGCACACGTGACTGTATGAACTAAGCCAGGAAGTGCTCTTGAGAGAAGAAAAAAGCTTTGAAATAATATCACCTGGGGCTCAAATTCAGGCATTGCCAATGGTTACTGTATTACTGGATTGACTGTTCCCAGTTTTCCTTATTGATATATGAAGACAAATAATAGCTATCCTTTGTGTGGTAGAGAGCTAAGCCACAGAGCATCAGGTATAAGAAATGTCTTCAGATTTATCAGCCCCATGCAGATCTGTCATTCTATTTCCATTACTCCCTTGACAAAAATTTCAGCATGTAGGCTTTTCCTGTGTTCTGTGGGAAGCCATTGGTATTATCTGGAGTATTTACTGGAGTAATTGTATGAAATCTTATTTCACTTCACTGTTGCCCAATCCCAACCAAGAAATAGAGATGGGAAAATTATTTACCCAAATAATATTTATAGTTGGACCTAGAAGAGTCTGGAGGCAGATTTTGGTATCTCAGATTAAGCTGCAAGGAAGAAGTTCGTGGTGTAACCTGGGAGAGTACAAAGCCAGCAGACCTAGCTTTGCCCTCATTACTCCTTATAGAGGCCGGCCAGCCTTCCTCCCACCACTCCCTACCAAATGGTTGGAGACTGTTTTGGGGGGGGTTTAAATGGCCCTCTCAGTAAAAGTGAAATCAATATTCTTTTCAGCCTGGGCATTTAGCAGATAATGTCTCCCCATAAATCATGGGCATAATGACACTGGAATAATTCATCATCTCATTACATTTACATAGGATGCACCACATTGTTCTCAGGCGAAGGTTATCTTTCCTGCCTGGGACTCCATCCAGAAACAAATAAAAGACCAAGGAACCTGATTATTTCATGGTCCGTTTATAGATGCTGTTGTGGATCAGTTTTCCATCTGTCAGCTCCTTTTTTTTCTTTACAGTCCTCCTGTGTGCACACTGCAGAATCATACTCCTTCAGCTCAAGAATTTCAATAACTTTTAAAACTTTGTTGGAAGAGCTGCCTGTCTAGCCTGAAGAGGTTTTCTATACCCAGGACTTCTTATATCAGCACCAGGTTCAAGATCATCAGTAAAACAGCCATGTGTTTTATTGAGCACTTACTTTGTGTCAGGTATGGAACTTGATGCCCAGGATGACCAGGGAAAAATAAAGAGATGTTAGAATCCAGGTTTGGGTCAAGATTTCAGAGGAAAAACAACAGTGTGAATTTCAGAGTTCCCACTAATTATATAACTTTAACTTCCCTTTGATTTGTTAGTTTTTGAGTTTCAGTTTCTTCAAATATTAAAAAAAGGAGTACTAATATCTTAATCAGGCTACTGGGAAGATTAAAAGAGATTATATATGCCAAAACATAAAAGATAGGGAGATTAAGAAGCTAGGCTGGGTCCCTTAGCAGTGAGTTTGAATCCCTGCTGTGCTATTACCTAGTATGTAAAATGGGGCAAGATACTAATAGTTATTCATTAATACAACATACGTGTTTCTTAAAAAAACATACTGTTCTGTACAAATGTTAGCACTAAAAACCACAATGAAAATGGGGCAATGTGTATTAGAAATACACACACTACAAGAGGAACCTAGTAAGTAAATGCTATTTAGTATTGTGCTTGTTAAAAAGCTAAGACATTCACAAATGTCCCAATAAATAAAGCCATGAGTGCATGAATGTAATCTGGTGTTTGCTTGTAGAAGTGGACATGGGGAGACTGCGCTGTGGTGTGGTGGACAGAGAACCTTGTAGCACTCAGTGTACTACCCTGGGAAGCACAGGCAGTTAGTGGACATGGGAGAGGGTATATCTTTTGGCTTCTTGGCTTCTTGGCTTTTCATGGATTTACATCCCCTCATAAGCCCATCATATATCAAAGACAGTTATGGGTTATGTTCATGGTTCAGTACAGGGCCTTGGAATATTGGTTCTTTTTTCTTGTGATCTTGGGGCTAACTGGGAGGTTGGTTTCCTGGTACTGTTTGGCATCTAACTACCCAAGGAAAAGGCTAAAATGTGACGTATGGTTTCAACTGAACGTATATTGCTTTCACACTGTCATGAAGTTGTAAAATTGCAAGCTGAGCCATCATCTTAAGTTAGCCCTTTATTTCCACATGGACTAATGCAGCTGGCTCCAGTTCCCTCCCTTACCCATCCTGTCTTGCAGTGAGAAATGCGCATCAGCAAACTGCGGGAACAAGAATCACAAAATCATTAAAGCATTACGCTAACCATGGTTCCCTAATCTGGCTTACAGAAGTCTCAGATGGACTTCACTTTGCTCTGCTTCTACTTTCTCATTTGTAAGTGATGGTGATTATGGTGCCCACTTACGAGGACTGTAATGGTCATAATTACCTGTGATGGTTCTAAGGAACGGGTCCTGATGGATAGACAGGGCACATTTCCCTGAAGCATTTCATAGTTCATCTTATGCTACATTTGATTTGATGATTTTTTTTTTCCTGGTTGAACTATGTATGCAATTTGTCCCATGGGACCAGACAGAGGCTCACATTCCTACACAGTCCTGGTTCATATGCAGGATTGGGTAGATTTGTTCCTCAAGCAGGCCAGAATGATGAGACCAAAGGCCATTTCTTCCTGGAAAGGAGACAGGAAAGAGAAATAGCATCCATAGCCTTTCCAAGCTCAGAGAGAGACGAGGCCCGCAAGATAAGCACTCGCCAGCCTGCACAGAGGTAGTTTGCTATTAACCATGGCCTCAGCACAGCTGGTCCTGCTCCCGGTGCTGGGGTTGAGTCACATAATCTCCCTTTAGCTATAATCTGCTTCTTGATGACTCTCCAAAATGAGGCTCAATTCCAGAGCTTTCCCTATCAATTATCACAGTTGGCCCAACCTGCAGTACAACCCAGATAGGTAATTGCATCTTTCATCTGCCCTCCTTTAGGGTTGTCTGCAGATGACTGGTGAGGGGCCAGAACATGACTCACAGGCTTGGGTCTGCTGAGCTGGAGAACAAAGGAGACAGGCTTGTGTGAGGTGCGGGAGAGTTGCATGCAGGACATTGATAAAGCATCCACGCAGGGGGTTGTGTGGGCTTCTCTGATGTTTGCTTCCAGCCGAACCTCTCACAAGCTCCTGAGTCATATGTTCTGTCTGATTCCTCCCCATGGAGGTTTTTCTCCATCTGTATGACTAGAGCTGGCTCCTGCTTGGTCTCTAAGCTCAGAATGCTTTCTCTCACTTTACAAACCCCAACTGCTTCCAAAGGGATTCCAGTTCCATACCTGCAGTGCCCCTTCTTCCAGTGATCTCTTCTCCATGCTCTGAGCTCCTTCCTTCTATGGTTCTCATTTGCTCTTGGCAATTCTTCTCACTTTAGGTCTCTGGGAAGCCCAACTCTCCAACGATTGGCTGTCTTTATTATAATTATTGTTACCTTTTAATTGTGCAAAGGGGTTTCAGTTCAACACATCAGTTTATATGTATAATACATCTTGATTAATGTCACTCTCTCCTTCCTTTTCCTCCATCTTTCCCAACCCTCTACAAAATACATGGTTCCATTTTCACACATGTATGTTAACCCTAAGGACGGTATTCAGGCATTCACCCATGGTTCCTCTCTGTATTCTGATAACTGCCAGGTGCTGAGACTTTGATGGAAATTAGCAGCATCGCGGCGTGCAAACTGCCATAATCATCTCACTATTTTGTGGCCTGCCCAGGTTTTATACAATCTGTGCTCTGTAGGATTGTCAGGTGGACTCTGAGGCTGTCTTCTCATTTTGATGGGATTTCTCATTTCCCCATAAAGGGCTCGGGCACATTCTAGAAGCATAGATTCAGGGCTTCGTGATGAAGCAACTAGAGGAGTTGACTGGAAGTCTGTGGTAGAGAAATGTTTCTCCAAGAATGGAATTAAGCAGCCAGCACCCATTATTGATTTCTTTTGTTTATTTGGTTTTTAAATAACTAGCTCCAGTGGCTGCTGAGCTATACTCAGCCCACAGTTTAAGAAATAGTGCTTTAGTGAAAGAATGTGAGTTATCTTCTGAGAGTTATTGAAATATGGTCAAGTTGGGTATGAGCAAGGCCACCAGGCACTGTGGGTAGCAATTGTGTGAGTCTGAACCAGGTACTAACATTCGGGTGGAATAATGACTTGGCAGTTTGGGTTGCCCTCTGTTTGCTTCACATGTGCATTTTCATAAATCCAAACCTTATGAAATCTATTCCCCAATCCTTTCATCTTTATAACTAACCTGAGTCCACTAGTGGCTCTATCCTACAGAGCAGGGTTAAAAGAAACACTGAAATAAGATGGCTTTTAAAGAGACTGAGTTTTGATTTGATAGGATGTTTAGATGAGATTTTAAATATCAGCATTGGCTAGCAGGTAACTAATGATTGACATGAACACTGGAACTAATGGGAACTCAAAAAGAGGAGCAAGTCATAGGCTGGGTCAATGATGAGGGACTTCCTTGCCTTGCTTCCTAAAGGAATGAGGGATGTATCTAGGATGAAGGAGAGAATAAAGCATCTTTGTGAGAACCACAGCCCAAATGGCAGCAGAACACTAGGTAGTGTTAACTTCGTGTTACTACTAGACATTGGTTCTCAAAGGGAGAGTAGCCATCAGGAGGCTTTTCAGAACCATGGGGAGATGACGACAGTTGTGGAGACACTACTGGCACTTAGTGAGTGGAGAAAGGGGTCACTCTTGGCACCTTGCAATGTGTCATAGGGGTACACAAAATGGGAAATGTTCCTGAAAACTTTGAATGACTTTCAGGTGTTCTCCTGGATATTTGGTTGAAAACTTGCATGTAATTATCTCCATGGAACCTGTACTACATGATAGATGGATGGATGGATAAATTGATGAATAGATGTTAAATGGATAGACAGAGAGATGGATGGATGGACAGATAGGTAGATGGATGGATAGATATAGATAGATGTTTTAATTTTATTCTATTTCTCAGGGAAAAAAACACAGCAGGTAGATTATTATTGGTTGTCTTCAGAATTTTGCCAAACTTGATTCACCATTTCAGAAGTAATTCCTCCATCCAGTGACAATAATTATCATGAAAATTAGAAACTACCAGTTTGGGTTTGTAGCTCGGATATACACGATAATTCTGTGGATGTATATATGAATATGCTTAATTAGCTTTCATTGCATAATGCCAAATGTAAAGGGAAAGAATTGATAGCATTCTGTGAGTATTCTTACTTTTCTGAAATCCACAATAACGTCAAAAGTGGACAGACACATCACTGGGTCTTCTAGTGTAATCAGATCTGAGACTTACATTTGAAAATTTCTTCACTAAAATTCATTTTCTTCTATATTTATTGTGAGGTCATTGGGTTAACATTTTTCCGAGTGTTAGTGATGTTATCAAATATTTGTAACCAAAAAGGGATGTGGAGTCTGATAAACATGAAAACTCCTGGATTAAAACACCAAGGAGAAAGAAATAAAAGGACATGCTTGCTTACCTTCAGTGGTAACGGAGCTGGGATGGGTTTAGAGTGAGGTGAACATTTTGGCTTTTGATTTTTCCCTCCCTGGTTCAAATATATCATTCTAAGTCATTTGGCAAGCAATAAACAGGCTTGAATATTTGTGTAGTTTTAAAATAATATACTTGTTAGGCAGACTTATGAAAGAACAGATGTGGCCAAAAAATGGTTGCTGTGTGCCTTTTTTTTTTTTATCGCTATCTTTAGTCAATGCATCAAAAACGTTTACCTCATGCTGAGAAGCCACAGCATTATCTCCATAAGCCATCTTCAGGGTAAGAAAACACCCTGCAGCTCTCCCCTCAACTCCCATCCCGTTATGTGTTTTAGCTCTGCAGAGAAATTTTGTTCTTCTTTTTAAGAAACTAAGTAATGCATCTTGACAGATGGCTGATGTTTCCCAGAACTTCATACCTCAGAAACCATCCCTTGGGCAAGTTTTGGGTCCACTTGAAACCAAACTTTGGCAAGAGGGAGGGGGAGAAGTCTCATGCTTCCTCGAGGATATAATAAAATGGCGAAAATTTACTTGCTAGCTATCTCTGGTGCTCTGCAAAGCAGCTCAGTGGAAAAGGTCTGCCGTTGTTTCAGTAGAAGCTTTGCATAGTTGTTAGAGAATTGATGCCAGGCACAGTTTGCCAATATCAAAAGGTGGCTACATGTATCACAAGGACTTACAATATTCTGCCAGGAATAAAACAAACTTACTGTTTTCCCTTAGAAAGACAGTATGTTTTAATATGTCATTTTCAGAAAAGAATGAAGGTATAAAATCAATCGTGGTTGGTTACAGAAATATAAGCTGTGTATTGCTATTAGGTGTTTAATAAAAAAGATCACGTCTACCCAGTCTCAAAGATCCTTCTGTCATTATTGAGATAGGTTTCTTTCTATCTTTAGGGATCAATTACCAGAGAACTCATTTGATGCTGGGATTGTAGCCACGTGCCAGGTTTGCTGTTTTTGAGCCTGCAGAACAGTTGTTTATGCCACGGAGAATCTACAAAAGTAATAAATAAATGAAGCATAGTCATGGTGAGGTGGTAGCTTTGATCAATCCAAAAAAGAAAAATAAACAGCCATTTTCATTAGGAAAAAAAACTCTCTGTAATATGATATAACCAGGGAATTTTGGTCCAATAATCATTTTAGGTTGATGGCCTGTTACTGAGTCAAGTGGACTGACCCATCTAGGTATAGGTAGATGTTGGCTACCATTGGCCTTAGGGTAGATGTTGACTACAATTGTCAGCAGGGCAATAATGTTTGTGACATTGAGCTTTTTAGGGTAATGCTTACTAGCTAGGCACCTTCTGAGTATCAGCTTTTTAGGTTAATGCTCACTAGCTAGGCACCTTCTGAGTGGTATCAATGATAGCATTGCTTTCTGATGAATTTTAAGTATAAATAAAAGTAGAGAAAAAGGCAATAGTATAATGATTTCCCCATATTCTCATCACCCAGCTTCAAAACTTGTGACCACTTTGAGCAAGTTACTTAACCAGATGCTCACCTCTAAAGTGGCAATAATGATTCTCATATCCTAGAAATCTTTCAGACTTCATAAAGGCAATGTGGCATATGACCTTTCATTAGAAGATGGTATATCATAAATGGTCCAACATATTTATTTGATTTTATAGCAAGAATTTCTGGGATTTAAAGACATGGCAGACTACGCTGAATAGCAAACAGGATCTTTGTGGTTTTATTGGTCTTTACAATTTTACAGAGTATGTAGACCTTAACACACAATAACTAGACCTTACATTTTAAAACTAACCCTCTAAACAGTACAGGAGTCCAATGCTTAGCCAAGCAAGGTTGTGTCTCAGTGGACATTCTACCTGACCCATGAAAGAAAAAAGAATAGTTCTTAAGAACACGATGCTGTCCTTGGAAACACAATAGGTAGAGTAAAACAACAAGTGGGCAGCTAAAAAGCCTTATCCCCAAAAAGGAATAGCTCTTTTCCTACTCTCCAGGCCACCAGTATTAGATGATGTCACAGTTAATAACAGTCATGCCGTTTCCTTCTGGCTATTCTCAGAGGTCTGCATGGCAGAGAGACAGCATTCTTTTAGTGCCAAAAATAGTTGTTGTTCTTGGGTCTGAAGGAGAAACCTTTTGCTGAGCTTTAGAATTCAGAGTGATTAATTTGCAGAATGCTCAGGAGGACCAATTAGATGGGGCTCCTCTGTTTAAAAAGGTAAGGGTGGGGGGGACAGTACTCTCAGTGAATGAAAATTCACTTGCTATCCATGTTGCTCTGCAAAACAGCTCAAACCCGAACAAAATGAGGAGAGAGAAACAAAAGAGAAGCCGGTTTACAATCGATTGATAGGGATTGCCAAGATCTTCAAAAAGTCAGTAGTCAGAGGAACAAAGGATATAGGATTTTTAAAAGTCTAGAACTTACATTTTCAAACCAAAAGAAAGTTAATTTTAATAAGAAGGTTAGAATTGTCAAGCACCCACTTTTACGTTTTCATTCGTTAATTTATACTATGTAACCTAGGACAAAACTGTTTCCTATTCTACTTCAGTTTTTGGTAGATAGAAAAGATGGGGCTGGGAAGGTGGCTCAGTGGTAGAGTGCTTGCCCCATATGCATGAGGCCCTGGGTTCGATTCCTCAGCACCACATAAACAGAAAAAGACAGAAGTGGTTCTGTAGCTCAAGTGGTAGAGTGCTAGCCTTGAGCTGAAGAGCTGAGGGACAGCGCCCAGGCCCAGAGTTCAGGCTCCACAACTGGCAAAAGAAAAAAAAAAAAAAGAAAAGAAAAGAGATCATAAGAAACTCCAAAAAGATTTTTGCCATAGTGAAAAAAGATAACATAGCTGGATGGGTGTACACTGCTTAAAGAACTAAAGGCTTCATCATCATCATCATCAATATTATTTTCATTAATTAGGTGATGGGGAAATGTTTCTGAATGGCATTTCTGTGGCCATTGATTGGTGGTGAAGAGTAGGTAATGAACTTGATAGGATTATCTTGATGTAAATATTCTGACACTTTCTTGTACTAAATTGTCAAGCAATTAATGTACCAAGCACATCTTTACTCTTCTCCTTGGCATCAAGTATCTGTTGACTCTTTCTAAAACAATGACTCAAGGATATGCCTGACAGGAGAGCAGTTTTACAGCAACATCGAAATCCTTCTGTTTTGATGCTAGTGCAAGGTCTTTGATGAAATGATAGATTAGACAAGTGATGGAATGAATGAATGCACGGTGTGTATTTTCATGGTCTATGCCAATGCTTTTGATAGGCATCTCTTAGACCATGCCTTCCTCCCCCTCTCTTTGTTCCAGCTTGACCCTGCATAAATCAGCTAGTTCACTTCATACACCCCCCTGCCCTCACCCTGGTATTTTACAACCTACCTTAGTACACATTTTTATTTCAGCAGAAGTTAAAGTTTGGAAGTATTTCAATTTAAAAAGCAACTCTAGCCAGCAAACCATTCCCTGAAAAACACAATATTGGTTAAATAAGGCACCATCCATGGTGAGTCAATTTAGAAGTGAATTTCAAAGTACTTTTAGGTGGCTATTTCTGGTAAAATAATAATAATAATAATACTCAGGATTTAAAGATAAGTTTTAGAAAACAGTACCTTCTTGTATAACTCTTTCCTCTCTCTCTCTCTTCCCCTCTCTCCTCTCTCCACAACCCCCTCCCCAGATAGTAGGGACTGAATTCATTCCCTTGTACATATTAAGCATATTTTCTAGCACTGAACTCTAATATTTCTCTTTTTCATGGTTACATTGCTATTGCTGTAGTAAGTAATTGTTTAACATGAGTTCAGGATTGACCTGAACAGATAAACCTTATTTTAAGTTATGTTTCTTGATTATTGTTGTAACCACAAATTTACAAAACAAATGACAGTTCGAACGTGTCCCAAGGACACACAGCTGGGAAATATTGAATTGAAGGTTTGTGTTCTGTTCCACTCTGAATAGGTCCCAAGCTCCGGATCCTAAGCTCTTTGCTGTTGGACAGAGAGGGAGGGAGGAAAGATTTGTGTCAGATTTTTTTTTCTTGCATAGATAGTCAGACTTCTCACGTAAGCACAGGGCTTGTGAGATGTTTACCTTGACATTGCATTTGTTTCACTAGCTTTGTTAGCACACATTCCCATGATAACCTGTTCTTCAAAGATAATGAGAGCTGGGCACTGGTGGCTCATGCCTGTAATCCTAACTACTCAGGGAGGCTGAGATCTGAGGATCTCAGTTCAAGCCAGCCTGGGCAGGAAAGTCAGTGAGATTCTCATCTCCAATAAACCACCAGAAAACCAGAAGTGGTGCTGTGGCTCAAGTGGTAGAACGCTTGCCTTGAGCTGAAGTGCTCAGGGACAGTACCTAGGCCCAGAGTTCAAGCTCCATGACAAAAAAAAAAAAAGATAATGAGAGAAATTTTTAGAAGAGATGCCCACAAGAACTCGGACATTGAATTATAATGACCTCAATGCAAAACAGTACATGAGATATGTGAAGAGCAAATTAAATTTTACAAGTTTTCTGGGAGTTGATACAACAAATAAAAAATAGATATGGTTTTTAATAGAAGTGTAACGGGTCCATAAGTCAAATGGAGTAGAATGACAGGAGGACTACATGAGGGAGGGGATGCGAAAGAGGGAAAGAGTGACTCCTGATACTTTTGTAAGTGAATGGGAAGAGAAATAATGTGCTTGCGCCATAACTGGAGAAGGAAACAATATTAAAGCAAATGTCAGTCTTTGCCCAATCCCAGCCTCTCCTGTACCCTTTCCCCAAATTACCCCTCATCAGGGTCATCTCCCTATTCAGACATCACTTTATTTTCATATTCATTGACTTCTGAGCCATAGGTGCAGGTTGCCTGCATTTCCTCCCTTCCTTTGGCATCTGGGCCCAATTCTCTCAGATTATTCTTTGCTAGGACTCCTACTCTGTTTTTTGTAGGCTCATTTCCTCTCCCCTAGCTGTTAGAGGTTAGAGATCATCAGCCCTGCCTTCTCCTTCTCTCTCCCTGGTGAGCTCAGCCACCTCTGTCCCTGGTATACTTTGAGGAGTCCCAGTGTTATCTCCAGTCTTTGTCTCACCTGGTAACTCCAGGCTGACAAATCAACTATCTACTTTCCATCTGTTGAATATCTCCAAGGTACTCCAGGCCCAGGACTGAGCTCTGGACCTTCTTTTCCAGGCCTGGCTCTCTTCCATTGTCTCCTTCGGTAAACACCACTATCTCTCTACTTGCTCAAGCAGAAGCTAAGGGACTAAGTGTCTTGTATTGGTTGCCAAGTCCTATTGAAGTAACCCTCTATGAAATTTCAGGAATCCCTCTCCTTTTATCTCCACTGCTATTCTCCTAGTCCACGCCACCATCATCTCTTTTCTGAATACTCCAACTCATCTTCCTGCCACCTGCCTGTGTCCATACTAGCCTCCCAACAGTCACCTCTCTTGATTTCTTCAATATATAAATCAGGTCCTGTCATCCTTATGCTTAGAATCTTTCAATTATTATTATTCATTCTTCTTGGGCAAAGTTATAATCCCCTGTGATTGCTAAAGTGTGTTCTTAGACTGCATCCATATCAGCCAGTATCGTGTTTTGAAAAACACAAAACTTTGGGTCCTGTGAACATTAATATTGTCAATTTACTTGGATTGAAAATCACCTGGGGGATTAATAAAGCAGACTCCTGGGTATGTCTGTGCAGGTATTTCCTGAGATGATTTGATCATGAGAGTTTGGACCTAATGAATGGATTCGTTCCACAATGGGTTCATAATAGGATATTCTTATTGGAAGGTGGTAAAAGGTAGGAGGTGGGACCTGGTTGGAGGCAAATAGCTCACTTTGGCATGTCTTTGGGGCCTACCTCTTGCCCTGGTCCCTTCCTGTATGCTCTTTTCTCTGCTTCCTGGCTGCCAGGCTGTGAACTTTTCTGCCCTATCCCCCCATCCCCTGTCATGATGGACTGTGACCTATGAAACGGTGAGCCAAATGGAATTCCTCCCCTTCTGCTGTTTAATATGCAGTATGGTCCAATCTGAGACTTTCTAAATTGAATCCTCTGGGAAGGGAGTCCACACCTCCTATATGTGGGGGAAGGTTTTAAGTTCCCTAGGTGATTCTAATGAATGCGTGCAGGTTTGACAACCACTTTGCCAGCCACCTTTCTGGCTACAGATGGCTTCTTGTTCTCACAATCCCTTGTACAGTTTGTTTGTTTTTCTTTATTCATCTCCTTGTAAAGCATGTTTCTTCCATTGATGACGCCTTGGCACAACTCTTCCTTTTCCCTAATGCTTTTACCTTTTTGTTCTTTCCTAGTTAGTGTCTACTTCGAATATAAGCTCAAGAAAGCTGCCTAGGACCAATTCCTTTGAATAAGACACATTGTTCATTTGCAGCACTGTATTTTTTCTTATTCCATCTCCTCTACTAGACTATAACAAGAACTGGATCTATTTTCTGTTGAGATAACAAAATACCTAAGCCTAGGTTAGTTCTAAAGGAAAGAGATTTATATAGTATACAGTACTAGAAATCCAAGAGTTTAACTACACTTGCATCTGTTCAACTTCTAGGGAAGATTTTATGGGATGTCAGATCAAATTCCCTGGGTAAAAAAGCTGGCATATGCAAAAGAGCAGTTCCCTACTCTCATGGTCACTAGTTTAGTCCATAGAGACTTAACTCGAGTCAACCAAGTTAATCTAGCTTTGAGATCCACGGATATACAGTTTTTGGTGAAGGTTATTAATCCATTCAAGGTGGTGTTCCCATGAACTAATCACCTCACCAAGCTCCACCTCCTAAAGGTAAAATCTTCTCAATGCTGAAACCCCAGGGGCCAAGCACATCAGCCTGTGGGACAAACCATAGCAGGGACCGTATCTGGCTTTGCTTGTTATTGAGTGCATGCAGTGTCTAGGGCTGGCAATAGAGCACATAGTCAAGTATTTGCTGAATGAATGCATGTACATGTAAATGAAATTCCTCTTACTGTTTGAGAACAGAAATGCTAGAGCTCAGGTGGTCAGCTCCCAGTCCCCTTAATTTATAAAATGGAACTATCTACATCATAGACTTGCTGAGATAATTGAATGGACAAAACCAAGCACATGGCTAGGTACAAGCACATGGCTAGGTACAAGCACATGCTAGGTACAAGCACATGGATAGGTACAAATCTGAGTTCTGCTGACCATCGTCGTTGTCATCGTCATCATCATCATCATCATCATCATCACTCCATTGTCATTCCATGGTCAGTCATAAACTCTCATGGTCAGTCATAATGGTTAGGTGTGGTTGAAACCAAACAGGTGTAATTCCTGACAAGAATGTACATTTTTAAAATTAGGAATGTACATTTTTAAAATTAGAAGATGCAAATAACTTTTTTTTGCAATTTCCCCAATAGTTTCAAAGATTATTATTTAATGGATTTTCTCCAGAAAATTCTTATTATCCCTGTCATTGGTTTCTAATGTCATTCACTTTATTTATTCAGCAAATAATTAGGTAACATTTGGATGCACTGTGTTAGCTTCTGATGATACACACGTGTTCTGGGATCCTCTTGAAGTTGCCAATCAAGTGGAGAACAAGGCATTTACAGTCTACTGAGGAAATACTTCCCTCCCATGTCAACAAATGTTGCAGAGGACTATAAAATCTTACATGTTGTGAAACGGAGAGACAAATTCTAAGTAGGGAGAGGGTTTTTTCCACCTTGACTTCCTACCTTTGGCACTCAAGAAAAAGCCATCTGGATTCATACCGAACCAATTGACTTCAATTAAACTAGTCTCTCTGAGTTAATACCTTGTTTTTCTACAAACAGGGTATCCATGAAAAGCAGCTAAGGGGAGAACCGAAGGGTAGGGCCAGCAGAGAAATCCACATCATTCACCTATCTCTCAGGTGCTTGTGTGCATGCTGAGGGGTTGAGGACTCTTTCTTACTTAGGCCCTCTGTCTTTTGGCTGGCTCTAATTTCTTTACCACTACAAACACCTGGAGCCAAGGCTGCTTTTTTTTCCATAGCAGTTTGAAAGAAATCCCTTTCTCTTTCTCTTTTCTCAGTTTGATCCATGTCTTAATCTTTGAACAGCATCAAATATTCATCAGCGTTTGATGAAGCTGGGCTTGGGAGGACCTAGAGTTTTCAAAAGCAGGTCTTGCTTTACTCTGGGGAAAATCCTGTGAGTCTTTCAACAAGACTTGCCTCTAAATCATCAGACTCAATTAGTTTGATTTCAAAGAAATACCCAGGTGTTGTTTGACCTTCAACCATATGGACTGCTGGAATAAATGAAAAGTCTTACTCGTTCCTGTAAAGCCTGAGGAACTAGATAGGGGCGATGCCTTTTCATAGTCTCTTGAGTTTTTTTGTGGAGGGATTATTAGGTTTGGTCTAAACGAGCTATTCAGTTAGTAATATGCACAGTTGCTGGCTGCTGTTGCCTATGTTGAGAAAGAGCCAGGTGTGAGCTGTTACAAAGCACCACTAAAAAAGTGAGAGGTGCATAGAAGAGTTTAGACATGTGGGCAGGGCCTGGGGTCTAGCACTTGGAGGCAACGTCCCAGGAGACAAGGCAAGCCAACGGCTAGACTCCGTGTTAGAGCCATTATTGCGACTGATTGTGACAATCCAGAGTGACTCTTTTATTCCTTTTTCTGACACCAGGGTGGCTCCTAATCTTTTCTCATCATGATACCTTAAGATTTCCTTGGGTTTTGATTAGGAGGCTGTTCTACCTAGCATTCTATGCCTTCACAGCTTAAATATTTCCCAAGAATTGGGGCTGTGTTGAAAGTGACTGGCATGTAGCTTTGGAGTTAGTTCTAAATCATGGGTCTGTTTGCCATTTGGAGGACGTGAGACAAGTTACGTTACTCAGATATAAGACGGAGTTGACACAATTCTTGTGTTAGCATTTTACACAGCATGCTTAAGTGGAAGTGCATATGACTCCAACCAAAAAGGGATATAATGTCCAAATGCATTTGCTGAGGCCATTTGGACTGCGCTCTGCCTTGGATATAGTTAGGATTATTGTTAAAAGAACCTGGAAAGCTCTGCAGGAAATAACTCTGGTTAACATGGTTGAACTTAAAAGGGCAAAATGTATTTGAGTTCAAGAATCTTTTCCTTGGGCTGGGAAGGTGGCTCAGTGGTAAAGTGCTTACCTTGCGTGCATGAGGCCCTGGGGTTCGATTCCTCAGCACCACATAATCAGAAAAAAAAAAAGGCAGAAGTGGCCCTGTGGCTCAAGTGGTAGAGCGCTAGCCTTGAGCTGAAGAGCTGTGGGACAGCGCCCAGGCCCAGAGTTCAGGCCCCACAACTGACAAAATAAAATAAAATAATCTTTTCCTTAAGCTAGAGGCATGACTCAAGTGATAGAGCACCTGCCTAGCAAGTAAAGGACTCTGAGTTCAAACCCCAGTTCCACATAAGAAAGAGGGAAGCATAGAGTCTGAGAAGGGTTGTAACTTTTCAAAGACACATTGCTAGAAAGTGATAGACCAACAGTTCAGTCCAGACTTGTCTGCCAGGACATCCATTTTGCCCCAAATAGGCATCCTGATTATCTAAGGTGCAAGCTTTAGTCTCATCCATTGGAGTTACCCTGGACATTGTAGAATTAAGTTCCCACTGGAAGCTAACCTGTACAGCAAGAAAATCCTTTGAGTACTTATACTGAAAATTAAAGTAAATGTTCTTTTTTTAATTGTCAGGGTTATGTACAGAGGAGTTACAGTTATATAAGTAAGGTAATAAGTACATTTCTTGTCAAACTTGTTAGGGAAATGTTCTTAAAGGCCTACTTAAATATTCTTACTCCAGTTACCAAGTCATCTTCCTCCATGGAGATCAAGAACATTTTGTTGGTAACATGAACAATTCTTAGTATCACAACACATATTCCTTTGGTTAATTCTAAATCGCCACTTAGCCTTGGAAGTCATGTTTTCCTGTTGGACTGTTTCTTTCACTATTTGAGAGTACTCTGGATTTATGCTTGTTCTAGTTTGATATCAGTTATGATTTTGTATGTAAGGTACAATCTTGATTAAGGACCCATCTATATGTCTAAAGTTGATGAATTTATTTCCTGCAAAGGAAAGTTTTTTGATGTACGTTATTTTGATCTTACCTACTTCGTGGCATTTATGGAAGGCAAGGAGGAGATGGGAAAATGTGTCTCTTGAGGATAATCTTGAAGAGTGGCATATTTCCAGTTGCATATTATGGTAATGCACGAAAGAGGCATTTGTTTTCATTAGAATGACAAGATGTTGAGGGAACAGCATGAAAGCAAAGGACAAGTCTGTTCAATATGTTGTAGACACATCAATGACCTGGTGAAAGAAAGCTAGAAAAGGCACAGAGGCTGTCAGCATTTGTGATGAATACTCCTTCTTCAATTGCCATGATGCTCCTAACTAATAGTTCATACTATCTACAGTTGGAACTTAGTGTGCTGCCTGCCTGCCATTGGTTTTGATCACTAGAGAAGCTAGTAAGTGCCAAGTACTGATACACAGCACTAAAGAAATAAGGGGCGAACTTCTGTCCATTGCAATTCAAGATCTATTCTAACTTGGCTTTATATTCAGTGGTTAAAATGGCTACTTCGGACTCCTTCTGCTTAACCATATACAGGCCAATTTCTAGAGGAATGGGCATTCCCACGTTTGTTTCTATCTCAGAAGAACATACTCTCGGGGCTGGGAAGGTGGCTCAGTGGTAGAGCGCTTGCCTTGAGCTGAAGAGCTGAGGGACAGCACCCAGGCCCAGAGTTCAGACCCCATGACCGGACCCCTCCCCCCTCCCCCAAAAAAGAACATACTCTCCAATCTCAGTTTCTTAAAGTTTTGTGTATATGGGATTCTAAGTAATACTACATAGTAATTCTAAATAATACTAAAACCTGCATTTCAGAGGGTGATTCTCCAATGTTAAAAGCTCCTCAGGTAAACTTTCTTTTCCTTTGCCAGTTTTTAGCCTCAAAATGATCACCTGCAAGAAGTCACACTTCAGAAATAAAGAACCTGGAGATCATGTAGTCAGTCCCATCAGTTGGCAGATGGGGAAACCAAGACAGGAAGAAGCATTAAAGTGTTTGACAGAAGCTTAAGCATGACTATCATGTAGGACTTACAGGTTTCGTGTCGACTCTTAGGTCATAAATCATCTTGCTACACTGCAGTTGACATCTCCTTTTCCTGCCCTAGATACAGGGAAAAAAACCTATATTTTAGCAGGAAGAAATGATAACTTCGATTTCCCATTATTCACAGAATAAGGCTCAAACAGGTTCTATCTATGAATGCCATTCACCTCACAAAGAATAGGCCGTTCTTCCATCTCTTCCACCTCCTTTGCATTCCATTCTGCAGATATTCCCAACTGTTGGTAGATCACCAGATGAACCAGAGGCTTGCCTCCAGGGTTAGCATGTGCATGGTCTCCATAGCAGTTTTCCTAACAAAGTTCCCTTCTTGTATAGGTATCAGATTTCATCCTTTCTTCTCAGGCAGGTTTTCTCTGATCTCCTAAATATAGATTACAGACATGTTCCTGTGTAACCTTTATTCAAGCTGACAGAAATTGTGTTGCTATTTCAGTGCTTTTGTCCTGAACTCCATGTTACTGTCTAAAGAAGGACTGTGTCTTGTTGAAGGATACATGGTGTGCCATTTTATCTAGGAGACACAGAGCAGGTCTACAATAATCTCTCACTTAGGAGTTTGCTTCCCACAGTTTCACTTAGCCAAGCAGGGCCCAAATATTAAACAAAAACTCACAGAGGTAAACAATTTGTAAGTTTTGAATGTGTGCATGGCTCTGTGTAGCGTTGTGAAATCTTGTGCTCTTTGCCCAGATTGTGCATCACGTCTTTGCCCAGTGTATCCATGCTGTGTACACCACCCATCTATTAGTCTCTTAGCAGCCATCTCAATGATCAGAGAAACTATGTCAGTGATGGTGTTCCAGTAACCCTTTTATTTAATAAAGTCTCCAAAGCCTAAGAGTAGTAAAGCTATAACTCATCTACATGTGCTCCAAAGAAGCTGTCCAGGTGTGTCCTTCAAGTAAAAATGTGAAAGTTCTCTACTTAATAGTGAAAAGAAAAAAAAATCTATACACTGAGATTGCTAAGACCCTATGGTAAGAAGGAATAGAGACAGACATAGTGTATATTGGGATTTGTACTATCCATGGATTCAGCCATCCGCAAGGAGCCTTGGAATGTTTCCCAGGTAAATAAGTGGGAGATCTTTCTCAAAACTTCTCATCAACAAGCTCCAGAGGGAGTGTTATCACTGGCAGAGTCCATCTCAACTGAAGCCAACAGCCTTTCATGACTGATGCCAGCTTGTCTTAGCCCATCTCGCCTTTTACTGTTTGCCAATGTTAATGTTGACTACAGGCAGATCATTATCAGCTTGGATATTTTGGTATGTGAACCTCAGCATCATCTTGCAATTAACTTAGCACTTCTAAATCACCGTACATCTATTATGTAGCAAGTTCTTTGTACATAATGAGCTTTTCCTGTGTTATCTTCTTACAGTCACCTTGCATGATAGTTATTGTTCTTTTTTTTAGATATGGAGTCAGAAGCTAATCAATTTCCAAAATTTCTCAGGGCCAATAAGGTGAACACTCTAGATGTTTCTAGCTTGCAGGTTCCATCCCCATTTCATTGTCAGTGAAGATGTGACTGTTGACTTGTGTTGTAACCGTCTCTTTCATGGTGGATCTGGTAGGCTATTTAGACTTGACCATCCCCTGCAGCAACTGAAATAACTAGCCAAGAGTAAGGAGCAAATGGAAGCAGCTTCACTTGGCTCAGTTGTCCCCATACCCAGGTATGGCCAACCCTGTGGCCTTTCCTTGCCTTTCAAGGAACTCTCTTGAAATGAGTGGAAATTTAAATAGAGTCATTTTGTGACTCTTCAAAGAAAGTGTTTTATTTCTGTAATTTTTTTTACAACTCTTAGACAAGAGAGTACACACCTACAGTATTATCTGTGACAAATTCTGGTGATTATAGAGCACAAGGGCAAATCTTGTAGATGCTGAAGGCCCCCCAGTTGAAATCTATGCTTCACTATTTCTACACTGTAATCCTCACTTATTCTCCAACGTAGGGATTGAACCCAGAGCCTTGTGCATGTTCGTGCAAGTGGTCTACTACCGAGATAAACCTCTCTGTATTATTTATAGACTAGGAAGAAATAGGATAATAATAGCACAAAATCTCATGGGTTGTACTTGGGATTGGAAGAGTAAAGGACCGCTGTGCGGTCTTAGTTGATGGTGATTTTTACATCAGCAAAATATGGAAACATTTCTGTTTTTCACAGTTTGGGAAGTGCTACTTGCGTTTGATAAGTTGTTAAGCATCCCACAGAGCATCCTTTAAACCCTGGCAGGAAAGAATTACTTAGAATTAAGTCTTGATAGTACCAAGGTCAAGAAACCAAGGTCAGAAAAATCACAAACATGGAGACGTCTGACACCCAGATGAAAAGTTATATAAGATATTGCTGAAATATTTCACTTTTCAGCCGAGAGTTTTTGAAGTCATGAAAATTACATTGCCAGGCCTCCACTGGGGTGTGGTATGGTAAGATTCTGTGTCAGTTGTCTAAGAGCTCTACAAAACCGGATTCACATCCCATTGGAGGAGCTCTGTTTTTTTCATTTCGAAAGTCTTACCATTCACCATCACTGTGGCAAGAGGAGGTTTATTTGTTTTTATGTATTTTTTTGGTAACTTAAAAGCATCTTGAATTATTAAACCAGTTATTTTCCAGGCCTGCAAATGTTTTCAGCATGTTGAGTCAAGTTTTCCTGAGTCAGCACATGCGTGGTATTGCATCTTGGAAGGCCTCAGTCAGAGCCATTTCTTTCAGATGCTGGTATTTCTCTTCTGGTTTGGGATGTTTGGGGGTGCTCGAATGTGTTTCTCCTAGACTCCCACATTCAAGATCTCCCATGGGAATGACACTCAGGAAGACGAGAGACACCCCATCCTTTCAGGCTAATGAAGGGAATAAAGACAAACAAAAGAAACAAAACAACAACAACAAAAACCTCAAGCGATCATTTAATATTTTCCCCTGATGTGCAGAACCCACTGTAGTGCTCACTTCCAGCCAAACCATAAGGTAAATCTTCCAACTCAAGCTTTATGAGAGACAATACGAAAGTACTTTGAATTACAATGAATAAAAAGAAAATCCTTTTTCTGCTCCGGAGCCAAATGCTTTTAGAGGAAGCAGGGCAAGGGGTGGGGGGAGAGGGGAGAAAAAGAAAAAAAACCCACTCAAGTTCAATTGATGAAAACCAGTCAAAATATGGCCTTGTTGTGGCTGATACAACTCTCCTGGCTGGTCCCAAAACACAGAAGGCGTTTGTAGGCCTGGCCATCTCCATGCTGATTGAACTAGATTTCTGTGTCAAGGGCTCTTAAGCCCCAGGCCTGCACCCCACATTTCCTGAGTGTGTTATTGAAAATTATCAGACCTGTTTTCTTCATTACCAGGAAGCTGAAAAATGACTTGGGTTAAAAAAAAAAAAAGCTTAAAGGCTTTCTACAAGCAGAACAGGCTAACTCTTAAACAAACATCCTTAGTGCTCTTAAGTATGTATTGTAGAGCAGCACAGACCTGAAGGAAGTTATCATTCATAAGAACTCCATGGAAATTTCTCGAATGGATACCTTCCCACCTACATCTGCGTATTAGGCACTTAAATCATATGGATGGCTCTCAAGAGTAAATGGGTTGATTCTTTTTTTTTTTTTTTGTCGGTTGTGGGGCCTGAACTCTGGGCCTGGGCACTGTCCCTCAGCTCTTCAGCTCAAGGCCAGCACTCTACCACTTGAGCCACAGCGCCACTTCCAGCTTTTCTTCCTATGTGGTGCTGAGGAATTGAACCCAGGGCCTCATGCATGCGAGGCAAGCACTCTACCACTGAGCTACCTTCCCAGTCCCAATGGGTTCATTCTTGGTTTTTACTTTACACAACTTTTAGGGATACAGAAGCAAAAACCAAGAAGGTTTTCTCCTTGTGTCAAGGAATCTGAATTCTGGGTAATGAAATCCTCAAATTAGGCCCTAGGAAACCTGCAAAGGATAGTTCTGATCATCCAATTCAGCTGCACAGATGAAGATTACCTTCCCCGCTTCTCCCCCCACCCCTACTAATCCTTATGTGAGGGAGAAGGGATGCCAGCTGAGGGCCTTTGGTACTCGTAATCCACATGGCAGCGGAGGTTTGACTGATGTCAGCTCTTCTGCTGTTTTCATCTAAGGCTGGATTTCTCAGCTCTTATTTCTCCTTATATTCCTAACAGTTCATTAATAACCCCTTGTCTGCCCCGCCCCCCCACTTTTTTATCCCTTACTCTGACTTTGAAGAACCTGAATTCATTTAATCTTTCATTAGTGGTAATTATTTACCTGTCAGACCCCAGCTGGACAGCATCATTGAAATGAGTCACATCACATTGCTTCTAGTCCCTGCTTCCAAACAATTAAATCAGACAAGCACCTGTGTAAATATGTAATATTTGGTGATAAGAAAATGAATAGGCAACAAAACCAGAGCTGAACACGAGTGTTTCTCTCTGGGGACTTTTTGCATGTGCTTTTAAACAGTTCTGCTTTGCCCACTCCTCCTACAATCTTGTTTGTTTGTAAATTTTAGCTAATTTTCTGTCACTAGATTTGGGTTGTTTGCAGACATTAAAATCTGAAGGGATTCCTCTCACGGATAAGCTGAGATAGGATTTGATTTGGGTGAAATACTAAAGCATAATTTTCTTTCTTTTCCAGGACGAAAATGTCTGCCTCCATGGACTGACCGTTGAAATTCAACTTAGACAACAGTGTCTACCTTCATTTGTATGGAGGACTTCTGTGATGCTTTGTGGATTAGTGAAAGGAGCGAGTGCTTTGTAACCAATCAGGTAAGCCTGACTTTAGCTCTTTAGAATGCTGTGATCTTTAGCACCTTCAGGAACTCAACTTTCTAATCTGTGCAACGGATTCTGGACTTAGCCACCCTTGCCAACATGTCCAATACCAAGCTTAGCACCTGGTGAAGCAAAACACACATCATCTGAGACCACAAACCCATCACATCTCTGAAGTTCCCCATTTGATTAGCTGTAGCCTGAAATTGTTGGGGTGAGATTTTTTAATTGCTTTCTGATGGAGAATACATTTTAACAATATGAAGTACCACATGAAAGAATTTCCAGCTTGTCTCTCAGAAGGGAGCCTCTTCTGCTTTGGGGACTCATGTGTTCTTTACCAAAGATTCATGTAGACTGACCTAAAGGAAAGTTCTGCAGCTAGACATTGAAAATCACTCATCCCTCCTTGCCATCTTTTTTTTTCTGTAAAACTGGTATTTTAGCTGTTGAGCATCCATCCCCAGGTGGTAGTTTGGGGGCCCATTTCCATTTCATTCATTTTGCATCTATGGGTATATTTTAGTTGTAAAGCCAAACCCCTACTTCATCTCTTCCTAAGATCAGAGGCCTTGGACAAGTTAATTATTAGTGCTTCA